TCTCCTCCTCCTCTCCTCCTCCTCTTCTTCCTCCTCTTTTGACTTCTCATTCTCCACTTCCTTTGTCTGACTATTATTTATTTTGTTGTTGTTTTATTTCAGTTTTATTATTATTGGTTATCATTTATTATTATTCAATATTGTTGTTATTATCATTTCTCTTGTGATTACTGATATTTGTTCATTAGTTTCTTTCATGGCTGACATCCCTATCTCATCCCATTACAGGAAGACCTTGAAGTGAAGGACACAGAAGAAATTCTTGACTCACTGGCAGCAGGGAAGGAGCCCAAGGCAGGTCCTCGTAGTGGTCGCTTTGCTGCTGAGCCCCTAGGAGGCCTCACCTCTCTCACCAGTCCTCCTCCTGGACCAGGATTCATGGTATGTAGGGTCTTATGTTGGAGTTAGGATGTAGCGGCCTTTTGTTTTGGGTTCATGGTATAGTGTTGTTCTCTCTTTTTCGATGTCTATAGTTTCAAGATCTACATTACAGGGGAGGAATGACTGAATTTTCTAAGTTGAGTATGGCTGACTGTGCATTGGATTGGATTTATTATTTTTCAATATAAGAAAGGGTGGGGGTGAACTAATGAACTGTAAAGTTTGTGTTTTTACGTAATTTTAGTGACATAATTGCCAGTGTTTGTGGTTACTTCTGTCTAAAATTTTGGAGTTAAAACTTGCTAAGGAACTTCTATATCTCAACTATGTATTTATTATTGTAAATAATAATTGTCATACAACCAGTCTTGAAAATATTGAAGCTGTATACTTTTATTCCATAATGAAATTGATTTTTTAAACAACTGACACCAATTGTATTTTTCAGGTTCGAGATGACTTGTAAATTATATGTGAATGGAAGATCGTGGATATAAGGGGCTGAAAATCAAGCAGACAGAGATCACAATATTTATGGCTTTGCCATGATCTCATTATAGGTCATGTATAATTTGAGTTTGTATATAAATATATTTAAAGTGAAATGATGTTTGGGTTTATTTTCTTCCATACATGTTTTAAAAGAGTTTTCGTGAAGGGCATTAATATGAACATATTACCAGTCAGCACTACTGTTGTAGTTCAAGATATGTGAGGTGTTTGGACTGTGCAATGCAAAAATATTGTTTCATTTTTTCCTTTCTATCTTTCTTGCTTTCTTTTGTGAATGAGTTCAATACATCTGCCATATCACTTAACCAGTAGACTGCCAATGGTGGATATATGTGATTTGTATTATCCTTTTAATCCAGAGCATTGTAAGTATTCCTAAAAAAGAATCATATGACAGGTGACAACTGATCAGGAGCTCATATTAGTCTACTTGTCATGGGTTAAGCATCTGTTTTCATTGCTATAAAAAAGTCTAATGCTTAGAACAAGGATACTTTTTTGGGTGCCATAGAGAAATATGAGAATTATGACATAGAATTAAACTGAATTTTGTCACACCTACAGTACCTATGGATATTTATCTTTTAAACATCAGTAGATGTAGTAGCCACTGACATCATTACACTATTCATAAATAGTAATAACTGAAGTAATAACCATGGAAGTTATATATTAGTCAGGGCCACAGAATAGAAAAGGTTGGGAACCACTGGTCTAGACTTTCTTTGGTAGAAAAGAAAAAGAAAAATGATAGTCTATACTACATAAGCAATTCTGTTATGAAGCTATGGTTTCAGTAATGCCGAAAACACACACATACTCCCCCAAAAAAACATAAACAATTTGTATAACATGAATTATGTCATGTAGTGCTGGCTTTTATGCTTATATTTAAAATCTGGAGTTTCCTTTTGCTTTCTTTGTGATAACTAGCTCTTTTATTTGTTTTGACAATTAGCCATCCTCTTACTTCTGCTACTACTACTACTTTTTTTTTTCTTCCAGATCAGTCACAAATATCCTTCTGTTCTGGCACAAAGTCATGTAATTGGTGTATATCTCTGCTAGTGCCAGAAGTACATGTGTACTTAACCCCTTCTGGCAGTATACTTCCTTGTTTGTTAGTTGTTCTGTGTAGGCCTACCATCTTTTTTCTCATGATATATGTACAAATTCCCAAAATTTATATAATAGATATGGTGGATAATACATTCTGTGTAACACCTCATTTATTATAAATGCAGAGTAAATGATCAAGTTCTCTGGCTCTTTTGGCCTTGGCATTATTACCACCATTATGGCAAATGGTATGAATGCAACACTAAAGCCCAGATTTTGGTGTTGATTAGCATTATTATTAAAAGTTTGCCTTTGGATAATGGTGTAAGAATGTATATAAAACGGCTGGTTAAATTATAGATCTGCAGAATTTAACCAAATGACAAGTGCTGTGACAGTTATGAAAGAAGTTAGATGTCTTTGTCTGATGGGTTTTATTTTCACATTCACATAATTTATTGTAGTGGTAGAAAATTACCCCACCCCCATTCTAAGTTTGATTTACCTGCCCTTTATTTCCTCTGCTTCCATCACTTCAGTCATTTCCCTCTCCTCCATTTCATTTCTCCTTACTTTCTCAACCTATTTTTTTTTTTAAGCTTCCCAGGATTGCGTTATGCAGAAATTAATTGTCTGCATACAAGTCTTAACATCTGCTCTTTCCCTACATTCACACTCTTCTTCCAACACCATGACAAACAACATTAAACTGAGGCACTGAAACTTGATGCATACGTTCCTTTACTTCAAAGCTACTGGCTTTTGCATTCGTCTCGTGCATTCAGGTGCTTCATCAGTTCTTTTTCTTTCTCATCCATTTTATTATAGCAACTCACCCATCTTTTTGTTTATCATTACTTAGTGTATGTCCCATATTTTCTGCAAACTCCTCATCCCACCACTGTGCTTCATCCTAAATTTGTCTGCAAACGTGCTTATTATTATTTATATCTGAAAATCTTGTTACACAGACATGATCATGTCAGGGATAGATTTACTGTTGCAGGCGCCAAAGCTGAAAAGTATAATGGGCCCTATCAGGGTAATATAACACTTGCCTTTTGCCGTCAACTTTACTTATAAATTGTACATGTAAGTAGGCAACAACAATGAATAATGAGTGAAAGAATGTATTACTGAAAACACTGGATGAGAGAAAATAATGGCACAAATTTACATTAATGTACATTTTGGAGTAAGTGATAAACAAAATGAGCATTATGATGTTGGTTATATACAGTTGATGACCTTGTATCACATTTTAACAACATTGTTGGGGTAAAAAACAAGTGGGCTTACACAGGCATGCATACAAATATGTGGAATGCCTATAGTTATAAATTCACATTCACCATGAAGTGAGAAAAAAATTATTTTCATGCATATGTAAGCTTAAAAGGTAACAAGTTTTCCAAAAAGCAAAACATTCACATTGACAAGGGCAGTCATAAATAGAGCTAACAAATACAGACAAACCAACTCAGTCCAACTTAGTCTGTTGGTGCCAACTTTTTAACTGTTTATTAAATAATAATTTTAATCTCCCTTGCAGTGACTGTGGAGCTATCTGATGAAAACGGGAAAATGTTTACATCACAATTAATATCAGTGTTCTTTGATGAACTTCCACTGACTTTTCTTGCTATCTTCTTTGTCAACTGTTTTTGCATACACAAATATTTTTCTTTATTCATAAATGGAATACTGTCATTTATAATGGTAATTTTTATCATATTTTTTGTTATATTTCCCTTCCATACTTCAGCAGCAACATAATATGCTTTTTCTTCTACATTACTTCAGTCACAGTCATATTTTACCCTTCTACTCTTCCACTATATTTTAATTTGTCATAATTTTTTACATTTTACCCACTTCTCATTTTCCTTCCAAGTTCTTATCACAGCATGTCCTTTCTTCTTATACTACTGATTTCTTTACACTATACTGAAGAGCCATTGTCAGCAGTCTCTAGCAGGTACCCCAAGGCCATATGCTTTGAAGTGGTAGATTAAGAATTCAAGAGTGTAAAGTAGACCCTCCTTCACATAATGGAAAGAAATGGTGGTGTCACTGCAGCAGCCTAACCCCTGGCAAAGAAAAGAAAAGTGTTAATTACACTGAAACTAGATTTTTAAAATGCTGTGTTGTAATTGTCTATATCAAGACAAAAATGATTAATGCAACAGCATCTATAATAAATTATGACAAGGAAGGTACCTTGAGATGGTTATGTGATTATGTGAGTGATTGTGACAAATGCTGTATGTTTAAAGTTGGAGAAAAGACAATTGCACTTCTAGTACTACCCTAGGAATTTCACATTGAACAACGAATTTCAGGATATTGCATACCATAGCTGTTGAAGTACATTTACAAGACAAAGTAATATGTAAAATGAAATATATTTACAAGGAAATACTTTTAATGGACTCAGTAGCATCTAATTTGCTTTAGAAACTAACTAAGAACTGCCCAAAATGGTTAAAATATTTCTAATGTACAAACACTTCATAACATTTTATGCTCTTGGGAATACTACTTACCTGCTCGTGATCGTGAGCGAGGTTCTCCAGTACCAGTAGTCGAGGTTTTTCATCTTAGGAACCACTACGTCCGAAGGAATGAAAGGAAGAACCTGGGCGTCCCTTTTCATCTCTCGAATCCCCAGGTCGGACTCCTGCTGCCTCCATGAAGTATCCTGAAGTAGGAGAGTTGATTATGTTCGAAAGATGAAATTGTTAGAAAATGTATATACAAGGTTGTAGAATGGGAACTGACTTTGATTATGTAATTTTTCTGTAGTAATCGTAATTATAAGTGATTCTGCAGTCAATTCAGTAATCGCATTTCTCACCCATAGAAAACAGGTCGAGCATAATCTCAATAATTTGCATGTCTTGAAAAGTGATACTTGGCCACAATTAGAACTAGCGAAAATCAGATGTCAATCATGATGAACCCGGAACAATTATCCACATCACTGGCGCAGCGAATAAATCTTAAAACCCGAAAAATTAATCAGAAACTCACCCATCTGGACATCTTCAGCCCCTGGGAGTAGGCGAGCGTCTGGTTGTCCTGCCCTGCGTCCACGAAGGCTTGGAGGCGCCGCGGCTCAGGATGTATCCTGCGCCGCCGCTCATGTATCCCTTGGGATGTTAATAATGATGGTTAAAATAATGATAATGATAATGATAACAATGGCAATAGTAATAAAAAATAATGATTATAATATTGATGAAGAAAAATAATTATAAAAAAATAATAGCAATAACAGTTTTAATAATAATGATGATGATAATAATAATAATAATATAATAAATAATAATAATAATAATAATAATAATAATAATAATAATAATAATAACAATACCTATAACAATTATGATAACAATAATGATGATGATGATAATAATAATAACAACTATAACATAAAAATCTGACATCCCGACACACACCTGCGGTACGATGACATCAAAATGGCATCCATAATAATACGGGACTTCCGGATCTTTGTCGTGCAGCCAGTACCTCAAATTCTCCATGATGAAGTAGGTGTCGTCATCGGCTTTCACAAACCAGTCGTAGTCGTTGTAGTAATGGAGGTAGGCGTGGCGAAAGGCATCCTGGGAAGGAATTAGAGTTGATTGTGGTGGTTATGGTGGTGGTGGTTGCGATCGTGGTGGTGACAGTGATTGTTGTAGTGGTGATAATAATGATGATAAGGGTAATGATGAAAGTAATAATAATAATGATGATAATGGCAAATAAGGATGATAACGTTAATGATGAAAAGAATAATAATGATGGTAATATAATAATGATGATAAAAGTAATGATAATGATAAAAGTAATGGTAATGGCAAAAGTAATAATAATAATGATGGTAATAGTAATAATGATGATAACGGTAATGACAACAGTAATTACAGTAATGAAGATAATATAACGAAGGAAAAAAATAAACATTAAGAGAGACTCGGTAATGGAGATCCAGGTAAAAGCATACTTGGGGTCCACGTCCCGTTTTGTACAATTACTGCATTATTGTCTGAGTAATGACAGCTAGTGCGGCTTATTGAGATTTTAATATTCTAAGCGTGCTGTACACACTGACCATTAAACAATAGAAGTACCGTAATCATGGCGCCGTTACTTCATTAGATTAACAAAGATCTTTTTTTTTTTATGTTCGGTTGGACTAAAATGGATGCGGTAATACGTGAAGGGAATCTCAACCGACGCATCTCTTTGAATGTTGAATCCTTTCTTTGTGTTCGTTTTGCTTTCTTTATATGTGTCTTTCTTCTTTTCTACCTTTCTTCTCTTCGCCATCTTCTACTCCTCTTCCACCACCACCTCCTCTTCCTCCTCCTCTACTTCCTCTTCCTTCTCCTCCTTTTCCGCCTTCTCCCCCTTTTCCTCCTCATCTTCCACCTTCTCATCATCTTCATCCTCCTCCTCCTCATTTTCTTCCTCCTCTCCTTTTCCCCCTCTCCCTGCTATTCATTATCCTCTCCTCCTCCTCCTCCTCCCCCACGCCGATAATAATACGGTTATGCATTAATCCCCAATGAATTATGACTCACGATCACATACACAGAGTTTGACATAAAACCCTTAATTAATCCACCTTCCAAACCGGCCACCACAGGTCCCTTACCCTCGTCTTGTTCCACAGTCCGCTCCGGTCGCCCATTGCGTGCGGGACGGTCAGCAGCGGCAAATCCAGCACGCTTTCGTCCTCCTCTCTTTCCTCTCCTTCTTCTTGTTGCTGCTTTTCCTCTCCTTTCTCTTCGCTATCAGGGTTGGTGACGAAGAGGATTTTGGTGCATCTCCGACCCCAGGTTCTGTAGATGTGGACGGCGTGGGAGGCGTGGTGGGCGGGGTACGTCACCACGAGGCACAGGATCCTGACTTTTTCGAAGAGACGCTGGGCGACGGTGCCGTCTTCGGGGGGAAATGGTTTGGGTTAAGGGGTGTCTCTGTTTTTGTCTGGTTGTTGTTAGCTTATCTGTCCTGGCTGTTTGTATGTCTGTCTGCCTGTCTCTCTTACCTTTCTCTCTCTCTCAATCTATCTCCCACTATGTCTGTGTCTCTCTGTCTCTCTCTCTCTTTGCTCAATTACTGGTTGATGAGCTATAGTTAAGATTTGTAATTTAGTTTAATGATAGGTGTCAGATGTTCACACCCACCCACAAACTGTCTGTCTGCCTCCCTCTTTCACTCACTCTACACGCGCACCTATAAGTGTGTGTGTGTGTGTGTGTGGTGTGTGTGTGTGTGTGTGTGTGTGTGTGTGTGTGTGTGTGTGTGTGTGTGTGGTGTGTGTGTGTGTGGTGGTGTGTGTGTGTCTATATGTTTAAGCATCTATATAACTATATCCATAGCAATCTAACAAAATGAAGAGTGAATAAACGTATTAATATTCATATATATACATATGTACATATATGTATATATACATATATCTATATCTATCTGTCTCTATATATGAATGTATATATATAGAGAGAGATAAAGATACATCACACACACACACACACACACACCACGCATATACATATTTTATATATACAGGCACACACACACACACACATATACATATTTATATATACAGGCACACACACACACACACACATAATACATATTTATATATACAGGCCACACACACACACACACACATATACATATTTATATATACAGGCACACACACACACACACACACACACATATACATATTTATATATACAGGCACACACACACACACACACACACACACATATACATATTTATATATACAGGCACACACACACACACACACACACACACACACACACACACACACATATATATATATATATATATATATATATATCATAAAATAATGAACACAGTGGTAACTAACAACAAGTATCTCGGTGTCTGGGCGGCAAGCTGCGTGCGGGCGGCGGTCGAAACTCTGCGGGATTTTTCGCCACGTTTAGTTCCTGTGGCGATGGCTCTTGCACGCTGTTCTCCCAAGAGACGCCCATCACATCTATTGGGGAAAGTTAATGAAAGCGGATTGTCACTTTAGCGTATTGCAAACTTTTTTTTTTTTTTTTTTTTTTTTTTTTTTTTTTTTTTTAAAAGAAGAGAATGCGGAAGAACCACATCTCTCCCTCATGTATTCCTTCTGTGCTTGTGAATCCTTCAATTTGTTAATCTCTCTCTCATTTTGTTTCTTCATCACTCTTTCCCTCTCTCATTTACCCACAACTCTGTCCCCATTTCTCTTTCTCTCTTCCATCCCTCTTTCCCTCTCCCGATTCTCTCTCTCTCTCTTGCTCTCTCTTTTCCCTACTTTCTCTCTCTCTCTCTCCTTCTCTCTCTTGCACTCTATTGCTCTCTCTCTTCCCTACTTTCTCTCTCTACTTACCCCTCTGTTCCTGATGATGCGTGGCGCTCGGTAAGTAAAATGCCGCGGAGTGAAGGAGGGCCAGCGTCAGCCCCAACACGAACCCTCCAACAAGGGCCGCCAGGCACTGCATGGACCCCGAGCGCGTTCTCCAACAGTTCAACCCTCCTCCACTTCCCCGCCTAACACCTCGTTCTCCACCTCCACCTCTTCGTTCTCCGCCTCCACTTCCGTCTCCCTCAGTCACCACCATCTCTGTCCGGGGAAAAGCGCGGGAAGGGACGATTTTATTTGGGGTTTGGAAAGACCCGGATGAGGAATAGGGTGTTATGGCGGCTTCCGGTTCGTTGGTATTTGTAAAGTGAAAATGTAAGATGCAAAAGAAAAAAAAATCAAGTATCGATAGAGTGAAAGGGTTGATTAGAGGGATAATTTCGTTTATTTTGATTTTGTTAGAGGCATTTTCTTTTTTTTCTGTCTCTGCTTGTTTTAATTCCTCTTTCTGTCCAGTAGATGCTATAACTTTTACTGTGGAATTATTAATCTTAGTTCCAACCTACTTTAGTCTGTCTGTCTCTCTCTTCCTTGAAGAAATAAAGTTCGAGAAATCTAAACCAATCCAGAGAACCATAAAAAACAGGAAACAACACCCAATAAAATACCAGAAATCGAAAAGCATGGCAAACCTCATTCTCTCTCTCTCTCTCTCTCCCACCTGTTTGTCTCTGTCTCTCTCTTCCTACCTCCCATCCACCCACCCTCATTCTTTCCCTTCTTCCCCCCCTCCCTCCTTTCCTCCCTTCCCCCTCCCTCCCTCCCACCCACCACCCACCCTCTTTCCTTCCCTCCCTCCCTCCCACCCACCCACCCACCCACCCTCTTTCCCTCCCTCCCTTCTTCCTCCTTCCCTCCCTCCCACCCACCCACCCACCCTCTTTCCCTCCCTCCTCCCCCTTATGGCGTGTGTGTGCGGTTAAGCGAGTGTGATCAAACCGCCGTTCTGTTACTGTTTACAAGACTCGGTCAACACTCAAGGAGCCACATGTAGGATCCAACGAGAACTGCCCGCTACTCTGTATCAAGAAGTAAGACAGTTGTGTAATGATGATTGAGTAACAACACATGTCGATATTTGCAGAGGGGGGAGAGGGAAAGAACGAGAGGGAAAGAAGCGAGAGGGAAGAGGGAAGGGGAGAAGGAGAGGGAAGACGAGAGGGAGAGAGGAAGGGAGAAGGAGAGGGAAGAACAGAGAAGGAGAAAGGAAGGGAGAAGGGAGAGAGAGGAAAGAAGGGAGGGAAAGAGAAGGAGGGAAGGGGAGGGGGAGGAAGAGGAGAAGGAGGGAGGGAAGGGAGAAGGGAGGGAGAAAAAGAGTAAGAGAGAAAGAGAAAGAGAAAGAGAGAGAGAGAGAGAGGAGAGAGAAAGAGAAAGAGAAGAGGGGGGGGGAGAGAGAGAGAGGGGGAAAGAGAGAGAGAGAGAAGAGGGGGGAGGGAAGAGAGAGAGAGAGAGAAGAGAAGAGAGAGAGAGAGAGGAAGAGAGAGAGAGAGAGAGAGAGAGAGAGAGAGAGAGAGAG